GAAGGGGGCAGGGGCCTGGGATTTCAAACGGAAAGCAGGTAATTACAGGTAGACGAGAAAGAGCAAACATTCAGTAGGTACCCTTTCTCTGGGCCACCCAGAAACAATGGAAGGAAGTTGAACCAACAGGCTGGGCTAGGTCTCCTCCCACCGCCACAAGTTGCAAAGGGGACGCTCCCTCCTTTAAGCAGGTTTTTCCACCTGAATGTCGTTAGGCAGGTGGGGGAGGGTCGGAGCTCTTTCAGAGTCTTCTTCTTCTTTTTTTCGGCATACTGTTTTTATTGTAAAATTTTAAAGTTGACATTACTGCAGACTTCCCCCATCCCCTCCCCTTTGCCCACATCCATCCCTACCCGCCCCCCCACCACACTATTGTTGGTGTGCATAGGTTATCCATATGTTTACTAGCTAATCCCTTCACCTTCTTTATGCAACCCTCCTTCCTCTCCTCCCTCTGACATCTGTCAGTCTATTCCCTGTATCTCCATATGCTTCTGGTTCTGTTTTGTTCATTCCATATATTAGCGAGATCATATGCTATCTGTCTTTCTCTGACTGGCTTATTTCGCTTAGCATAATGCTCTCCAGGTCCCTCCATGCTGTCTCCAACTGCATAGTATTCTGTTGTATAAATGTACCAGAGGTGTGGGGGTTTTTTTATCCACTCATCTACCAATGGGCACTTGGGCTGTGTGAGTCTTTTGTTTCTTAATAACCAGATCAAAATCAATAAACCAAAAAGCATATCTGGGATGGCAAAACTTTGGTTCCCCTCAATAACATGACACATCTAAAAATACACATCTAGAAACAGTCATTAAAAGGAAGCCACTCTACATGTCAAATGACCTCTAATATACACAGTATTAGCCCTGGGCAGTTTGGCTCAGTGGATAGAGCATCGGCCTATGGACCAAAGCGTCCTGGGTTTGATTCCGGTCAAGGGCATGTACCTCAGTTGCAGGCTCCTCCCCAGCCCTAGCCCTGGTCAGGGCATATGCAGGAGGCAACCAATCAGTGTTTCTCTCACATGGATGTTCCTCTCTGTCTTTCCCTCTCTTTTCCACTCTCTCTGAAAATCAATGGAAAAATATCCTCAGGTGAGGATTAAAAAATTTAAAAAAATAAAACACACTGTATTTAAGTGAAGGTAGGCACTAAACAATTTGTGTATGTCATATAGCCACACAAGTGCATACAGAATTATGTATCTAAATAAAAGTGTATGTGAAACTACATACACAGACTCTCTGGGTGGGTAGAGATGACACTGGTAACGGTGGTGGCATTGCCATCCAAGGGACACAGCCCAGGGACAGGACTGGCAGGGAGGTTTACCTTTTGCAACCTTTTAGTCATTTTGAATTTTGTGTCATGTGCATTAATTACCTGGCCATGCTAATCAAAATGATGCTGGAGAAGCGTTTTAAAATATAGTCAGTTATTTTTTAAGGCAAGGAATAAAATGAAATATTCAAAGGATATTACTTAGGGAGTTGTTGAGAAATTTAGATAGGTGGATGGCTATAAACCAATATGCTCTCAGTGGCTTTTCTTTTCTTTTTCTCCATCTGTATTTACTGATTTCTCTAAAATGAACAACTATTCTCAACCACCAAAAAAGTACTTTTAACTCAAACGTTTTTTAACTTCCACTAAACATTAAATCCCTCATTTACTAATAAAAATACATCGCTAAGATTATGGTTTCTGTACAGCTAGTCCCCACCCAGTTAAAGTAAAGTTTGGCAGAGTCTCGGTTAAATGCAGCCAACAATCTATACTAATAAAAGAATAATATGCTAATTAGACCAGGAGACCTTCTGGACATCCTTCCAGGCAAAGCCATGGCGGTGGGGCCGAGGCAAAGGCGGTCAGGAGCAATCAGGCCGGCAGGAGAGGGCAGTTGGGAGGCCATGAGGGGGGGGGGGGCGAGCAAGTTGGCAGGGAGGGGCAGTTGGGGGCAATCAGGCCGGCAAGGGGGGTCAGTTGGGGGCGATCAGGCCGGTGGGGGGCGGGGGGGTTGGGGGCGAGCAGGCCAGCGGGCAGAGTGGTTAGGGGAGATCAGGCAGGCAGGCAGGTGAGCAGTTAGGAGCCAGAGGTCCCGGATTGTGAGAGGGACAGGGATCGGGCCTAAACTAGCAATCGGACATCCCCCAAGGGGTCCCAGATTAGAGAAGGTGCAGGCTGGGCTGAGGGACACCCCCCTGCCCCCGTGCACGAATTTTATGCAATGGGTCACTAGTTAAAACATAAATAATGAACCCCAAAAGAAAAATAAAACGATCTGAACCACAACAAAAGAATCAGTAGCACAGTAGGTCAGGGGATTGGGTATTCTTTTTTGCTCTGAACTGGGAGCTATCTGTTTAGGTTGTGTGCATGAATTATTCTGCTTTGAGATCTTGCTAACCACTCATAACCCCTCCTCCTACCACTTAAGCTTTTCCCTGGGGACCAGGCAGGCTTCCGCACAAAAATAAGTGCAGGAAGTGAGTGTGAGCTAACAAAGACATCAGCACCACATGGAACGCGAGACTTGACCAAAGAAACCAAGAACCTGCAAGGCTCACACCTGAAGAAGATCTGTGAGCAGACCTTCACTGTTATCCAGTGTCTCCGTATTTGTTTTACTTTTAAATAAGCGACATCTCACATTTTTGTTCTCTCTCAGGCATACTTACAATGCTGAAGTCACAGAGACATATTACTGTGTCACCCTTTTCTTTCAGCCTTCCCTCCTCCCCATTTTCTTTGGCCTTCCTTCCCCCCTTAAAATAAAGTGTGTGTGTGTGTATAATTCAAACACAAAAATGCTTAGTGACTAGTTGACTATCACTTCCATATAATGGTGGTAAACTAGAGGTTATTACTGAGTAGTGAGCATAAATATTTATTCAGCCCCATAAAAGGTAGCAGGGAGGGTTTTTACAGTGTTTGCACTAGTTAGCACAGAGCAGGAAATACCACACACATTAGACGTGCCGCGCGGGGCTTAACACGTTGAAATTCTCGACAGGCATCAGCAAGTTCGGGTATATTTTAAATCACTTGACACTGACTGAGCTCTCAATTTAAGCAGAGCATTTTATACAAAGTCATGGTACAGAGGACGGGGAGAACTATTAGAATCTGAGCCTGCCACTGAAGAGTATTAGAATGTGCCACTGAAGACACAAAGAAAACTGTTCATTTCCAAACTCTACGGCTCTGCTGAATAACACAAAGGATACATTTTGACAGCTTTATATAGGAAAGAAGGTAAAGGAGACACTTTCAATAGAGAGGCATTTAAGACAAGAGGTAGGGCATTTAATTTTGCATCTAGAGGTGTGTTTTTAAAGGGACAGATAAACGCAAGGAAGTCCACACATAGTCAATAAAAATGTTCTCATTTGGTTTTAAAAACTATGCAAAATAATCGCAATTCAAGAGCCAAGCACAGGGTGTGATAAGCCTTGCTTCAGCCAACATTACTTGCTGGTGAGCAGGAGGGTTTACAATCCTAGGCTCCTCCTCCACGCTAAGCCAGGCATCGCACTGAGTCACTGAAGATTGAGCCATCCACTCCACCAGCTCAAAAGCTCACATTAACTTGCCCCTCCCCCAAAGCCCTGCACAGCCTCATCAGCAACTTTCTCCACCTAACCACAGAGCTCCACTTCCTTCAAAATTACAGAGGAAAGAAGAGCAGGAGACAGCAGGAAGTAGGAAGCGAGAGTCCAACTTGGAAGGTCACCAGTGGTTCTGACAGCTGGAAGGGGCTCCTGTATTTTCCCTTCCATCGCAGGTAACCCGCGGACATTTCTGAGCACCTACTGTGCGCTGTGGGAACATAAAGATAAAAAGGCAAAAGAGACAGGCAGATGGAACCAGCAGTGTAAGGCAAGGCTATGTGGTTCTCACCCAGCACAGGGAGCCCGCTGACCTTCCCAAGCAGGTGACTCGCCTGTTATTCTGAGACCAGTCTCCACACCCTCCACTTGAAGAGGAGGAATAACGATTAAAAACAAGGATTAACAGTGTCGCTCAGTGGTTCAGGGTCGACCTATGAGCCAGGAGGTCACAGTTCGACTACTGGTCAGGGCACATGCCCCGGTTGCGGGCTCAACCCCCAGCATGTAGGAGGCAGCTGCTCAATTATTTTTCTCTCATCATTGATGTTTCTCTCTCTCTCTCTCTCCCTCTCCCTTCCTCTCTGAGATCAATAAAATACATTTTTTAAAAACACACAAAAAACAAGGACTAACATGACTATGTCTTATACACACACACACACACACACACACACACGTCCTACAAAAGCCAAGCAGATTGTGGCAGCCAGTTGGAATACTGCAGCGGCACCAATGGCTGCTTCTTACCAGAAGAGCTAGAACACAAAATCCAATCAAATTAGTCCCTCCACTCACCTAAGTCAGACACAGTTACTGACAAGTACCAAGCATGGTCGTTCTAAAAACATCGTGTTGACCATGGCAATGGAAGACGCGAACAAATGTGCACGCTGAGGTCTGATACCCCAATTGTCCCCAACTGAAAATTCGGACAGTGCTGGCTTACAAGGTGGCCCTGCCTCCTCCTCACAACACACATCAGACTTGTGATCGGTTTTCTGACTCTACCATTTGAATGGCTCCTACTATGTGCAAATCGCCATGTTACCCAACCCTGGACAAAGATAAAGGACATGCCTCTCCCCTCAAGAAATTAAAAACATAGACAATATGTGTGCGTGTGTGTGTGTGTATATACATATGTCTTTTGCATATTACATACTGTAAGTGCTCAGTGTGACAGTAATTTGAGGGATGGGTGAGAAAGAAAGGGCTGGAAGGCCCCAAAGAATCTTACAACTTCTCAAAAGTTAACATACAAAGTTGTATCAATGAAATAGGGTTTATTTACACAAAACACATCAGCATAAAGGAAAACACTGGAGGGTAATGAGCAAAAAATGAAAACTGTGAGCTGAGACTCAAAACAACAGTCATTCCTACCCCAACTTTCCAAACGGGCCCGGTTGTTCTCGGTCGTGTTTTTCAGCATTTCTGCATCTTTTTAGAGCGTGTGGCGCGTCTGTTCCAGTTCCCCGGTTATGACCGGCGAGGAGCTCCAGGAGGTAGCAGCCCTGAAAGCTGAACGCCCAGCCCGGCAAGGCCACACACCGCACACAGGGACCCCCGCAAGGCGCCCGCACCGCGCCCGGCACCGCACCCGCTTTCGGAGCCCTGTGCGCCCTGAGCGGCGCTAACAGACCGGGGCTTTGTGTCCATGGGTAAGAGAAGACACTTCCGATGAAAAGCTGCCCTCTCCCCACCCCCAGACACCCCCACGGACACCACCCCGCGGGGGGACCCCTGGCGTGTGAAATATCTGCGTCCCCACCACCGCCATGAGCCCCGACGCCAACAAAATCCCACGCTCCCCAGGGGAGGACCGAGCGGGTCCTGCGGCCACGCCGGGAGGCGCCAGCACGCGGTCCCCGGAGCCTCCGTTTCCACCAGCGACAGGAGCAGCTGCGCGGCACTCGCTCCGCGCCGCCTCCCACCCAGAACGCAGCTCGGCCGGTCGCCGCCTCCCAGAACCTTCTCGGCGCCGGTCCCTCCGGCCGCCAGCGCCCTCCTCCAGCCCGGGCACCGCAGGAAGCGCGGTCGGACCCGGAGCTGCCGCCGGCGGGGCGGGCGGCGTCGAGGACGCCGTGCACCTGCTGGGCCCGCGCCCCCATCCGGCCCCGCGCCCCGCGCCTTCACCTGGCTCGCCGCGCTCCATCGCCGCCACCTCGCGTCCCCGCCGCCGGCCCCGCTCCGAACACGCCGCCGGCTCCTCCTCGCTCCGCCGCTGTGGCGCCGAGTCCCCGCCCCCGAGGCGTCCGGCGCCTCCCAACCACCTGACCGCCGCCCGGTGCGCCGCCACGTAGCGGGGCGGGAGGGCGGGGCCGCGGGAGGCGGTGGGAGGCGGAGGGCGGGGCCTCGGGAGGCGGAGGGCGGGGTCTCGGGAGGCGGAGGGCGGGGCCTCGGGAGGCGGGAGGCGGGAGGCGGGAGGCGTGGCGTCCCGCCTGGAGTTAGTTTCCCCTGTTCCCTCTGAGGCGAGGGGGCGCGTTGCCTCCCCTGCCGCCCAGCACCTGCTCAGGTGGAGTCGGACGCACGGAAGGGCCCTGAGCAGTGCCTTTGCCCTGCCTTCTCCACAGTCCCCTCCAACGGAGGTCATCCCCAGGCCCACTCCAGCAGGTCCCAAAGGCGAGCAGGACACCGAATCCCCAAATGTTATGTCCTCCCATCTTTAGGGTAAGGGTTGGGGTTAGAGTTGGGATTGGGGTTAGGGTTGGGGTTGGGGTTAGGGTTGGGGTTAGGGTTGTTAGGGTTAGGGGTTAGGGTTGGGGATGGGGTTAGGGTTGGGGTTGGGGTTAGGGTTGGGGTTGGGGTTGGTGTTGGGGTTAGGGTTAGGGTTGTTAGGGTTAGGATTAGGGTCAGGAAGGTTTTCCTGTAATAAGAGCTGTGCTGAGTGCGGGGTTGAGTGAATTAAATTAGCCAGCCGGCAGCACTGTGGGCAGGGGTCTGTTGGAAATGCACTCTAAGGTTTGGTGTCCACTGACCGAGCGGACAGTTCGAAGGGCCTGGAACAGGACTGTGCTTACTGCCGTTAGCACTGCGGTTCCTCATCTTCCAGGAAGGCCCTTGGATTCTGTACTCCAAGGTGGCACCTCAGTTTCATAAGCCGCTGAGCCTGCGGGTGATGCACCTTCCTCCGGTGTTGCCTGGAGACTCGCCTTGGCCTTGGCCTTCAGCGGCTGCGTGGCCTAGCTCTCCAGGTGTAGAGGCTCTTCCCGTGTTTTTAGTTGTCAGTCAGCTGACGACCATGCGGCTGCCCTCTGCAAACGCAGGAACCTCCCTCTACTCCTGCTCCCACGGCACCCGCCTCCTGCCGGGCGCCACTCAGGCCTGGCGCCCTCAGGCCACTGCTGCAGCCAGGCATCCTACTAGGTTATAGCCTCCTAGCTGATGAGCTCCAGCGGGTCGAGGGCCATGTTGGCCTAGTTTTCATGCCTTTTATTAGAGCAGGCATTGAAAATACTGTAAGTTTAGCTTTCATGTTTGCATTTTAAAATGATTGTGTCTAACAATCCAGTGTTTGTAACAAAGATGCGCGATGCTCTGCCTTTTTAAACTTATTTTTTTTTAAATATATTTTATTGATTTTTTACAGAGAGGAAGGGAGAAGGATAGAGAGTTAGAAACATCGATCAGAGAGAAACATCGATCAGCTGCCTCCTGCACACTCCCCACTGGGGATGTGCCCACAACCAAGGTACATGCCCTTGACCGGAATCGAACCTGGGACCCTTGAGTCCGCAGGCTGATGCTCTATCCACTGAGCCAAACCGGTCAGGGCTTAAACTTATTTTTGAAGTGTAATGGTACAGTACATTTTGGCATTGGCAGGAATTCCAGTATGTAAAGAATTTTTGACTTGCTGCTGCTCAGATCTACCGTATAGAGGTAACACCTGGAGAGACGAGCTCCCAACCTATGGGCTAACTTGTGGACAAATCAATAGCACTAATGTTGGTTAGAAATATTATTATTTTAAAGATATTTTTATTGATAACAGAGAGGAGGAGACAGAGATAGAGAGATAGAAACATCCATGATGAGAGAGAATCACTGATCTGCTGCCTCCTGTATGCCCCACATTGGGGATTGAGCCCACAACCCAGGCACATGCCCCAAATGGGAATCTAACTGTGATCTCCTGGTTCATAGGTCGACGCTCAATCACTGAGCCACGTCAGCCGGGCTAGAAATATTATTTATTCTACTCATATCTATTTAATGTGCTGTGTGGTAATGGGCTTGCCTGTTACGTATGTTAGAAGGAAAAATGCCTGGCTTTTTAAAGAACGCATTTGCTGTCCGCCAGTGGCAGAGAAGGCTAACGGCCTACCCAGTATCTTGCTTTCCATTGTGCTTCCTAAGAGATCCCAGACACTGTTAGGGCGAGCAGTGCCCAGCAGAATCACTGGCCACTCAGCCGCCCTTGCAGCTGGGGTTGGCTCTCTCACACGTTAGAGGCCAGTGTGATATGAGCAAAGTTAGCTGGTCACACCTCCAAGAAATCATTTACGAAGGAGACAGAGTTGGCAACATTATTTTACCCTTCACCTTTCCCCTTCCTGTCCCGAAGGCGCGGCCACTTGCTAGCAGAGGATGAAAGCGAAGCCCCCTGCAGAGGAGACACGCAGAACGAAGCGGGGTCCTCAGGGGTCGGGAGGAAATAAACAGCTGGCATTTGGGGGTTTTTTTAAATTGATTTGAGGGGGGTAGGGAGGAGAGAGAGAGAGAGAGAGAGAGAGAGAGAGAGAGAGATTTGTTATTCCACTTATTTGGGCATTCAGTGTTTGATTCTCCGATGTGCCCTGACCAGGGACTGAATCCACCATCTTGGTGTATCGGGGCAACACTCCAACCAGCCCAGCCCCGGGGCCAGGGCAACGCCTGACGTTTTGAAGCCGCTCTAGTTGGCTTCCGGTTACATGGAGCCAAATGCAGTCCTAACAAGCAACATGCCATTTTTTAAAAGTCCCTTCTTGTTATGTACCTACACAGGTGTGCTCATGCAACCCCGAGCCACAGGTAAATATTAACTTACTCATTCTATGAGGTTAAGGAAGCACTGTCCACACCATAAACAGCCCAGTGCAGGGAATTTCCGCAAAAGCCTGCTTTTCTCTTGTGTCTTTCCTCTACTTAATTTTTTTTCTCCTGACAAACCAGAAACTGCACGTACAACTGGGGCTGTGTTCCTTCTGAAACCAACAGACCGGGGGCCGCGCACTCGGGGCCTGGAGGACGGCCAGCACTGCGCCCACCCCTGTGCAGAGCCAAGCGGAGCCGCCCCCTCAAAGGCTCGGGACACGAGGCAGACGCTAGATTCACTTTGCAATGTCCTTGCTGTTCACGGCGACATGGATTCTTTTTTCGGTTTCTTTTTACAAACACCCATTTGTTGGTAAAATGTCTACATGGAAATTCCCCCCAAGCAGATGAATGGAAACAAATGGAAATGTTCAAGGGGCCAGAAGGACATGGAAGCGATGCGTTGTAAGTGGAAACTTGTCTCCGCCCTCACTGGCCCCACCCCCTGGTAGCCAGCAGAGAACACACAGCATGTGCCGGGCTGCCCGGGTGGCTCAGTTGGTTGAGGGTTGTCCTGTGCACCAAAAGGTTTCCGGTTCCATTCCTGGTCCAGGCACACACGTGGGTTGTGGGTTTGATCCCCACTCAGGACACTTCCAGCCTCTCTCTTTCTCTCTCTTCCTATCTCTAAACATGTCTCCCTACTTCTAAACATCTCCTGAGTGAGGATAAGAATAAAAAGAACTCCCTTCATTTAGAACACACACACACACACAGCCCTGGTTGGCATGGCTCAGTGGTTAGAGCGGCAGCCTGCACACCGAAGGGTCATGGGTTCGATCCCGGGTCAAGGGAATGGACCTGGATTGATGTGTCTCTCTCACATCGATGTTTCACTCTTCCTAAAAAAATCAATGAAAAAAAGTATCCTTGGGTGAGAATTAACAAAAAGCAAACAAACAAACAAAAAAACTCTGTCGGGGGGGTTGGGGGTGGGGGGTGGGGAGCCAAAACGAATGTCCAGAAAACACATCCAGGGCAGGTTAGGAGGGAGATTTGGGAGTTAGTTGCAGGTTCCCAGTGCAGGGTGTAAGGAGGGGGGTAGGAGTGGGTGGGTGTGTCCATTTGGCCCCAAGGACTGCTCACCCAGATGAGAGGCACAGGTGGGCAGACTCTAAAGCAGTGGTTCTCAACCTTCCTAATGCCACGACCCTTTAATACAGTTCCTCATGTTATGGTGACCCCCAACCATAAAGTTATTTTCGTTGCTACTTCATAACTGTAATTTTGATACTGTTATGAATCGTCATGTAAATATCTGATATGCAGGATGTATTTTCATTGTTACAAATTGAACATAATTAAAGCATAGTGATTAATCACAAAAACAATATGTAATTATATATGTGTTTTCCGATGGTCTTAGGCCACCCCTGTGAAAGGGTCATTCGACCCCCAAAGTGATCTCGACCCACAGGTTGAGAACCGCTGCTCCAAAGCCTGGGCCCAGCCCAGGGGTGCCCAGGAGCCTGAGTCTGGGATTGCCAGAGAACATCTAGGACACCCAGTTCAATTTGAATTTTAGATGAACAATAATTTTTTAGTGTAAGTATAACCCCTGCAATTTTTGCAACATACAAA